CACTAGGATTAGTTCTGCAATGTCTACATCTGTAGGTAAACCTGAGCTGTCAGACCTCTTGGTTGATTGTATTTTAGTTCCTCCCGACTTCTGATGGGACGTCGAGGGACCAGACGGCGTACGCATATTTTCTTGCTGCAGTGGTGTGTCAAGAAGCTGGTGTTGCTGTTTAGGGCTTGTCCTGGGACTTTTGTCTGAATGTTGTCGCTGCAAATGCGATTCATGTGATCACCTTACAATATGGGAAAAGTCGCCGTGTTGGAACGGCTCGACACTCGCCGCGGATCGGAAGGTCATGGGTTCGCTCCCTGGCGGAGCCGGACATGTTTCAAAAAATGACCCTGGCTCCCAGATCGACCCAGCCTTAAGTGGGTAGCGGATGCAGTCCTGGGATGTAAGGGCGGCCGACGTGATGCTAACCACATCACCCATCTTGTGCCACATAGGTCTAGCCCTATATGCACTATACGCTTAAAGGTGTGGAAAAGGGTCCTTTACTTTTAACTTACAATATGAGGGAAACCACACACTTTATTATACCGTAGCAGAGTGCAACTGGCGCCACTGATTTGCCAGGGTCTGGAAGGTGAAGAAGATTAACACTGTAATGCAATAAACATGGCGTAAAGGGCGTCAAGTATGGATGACTGTAGTAATGTTAAAAATAGGTAAAACTTTAAGAGTTTGACTGGTTGGCAGAATTGTCAACGTGAGAATGACAAACCACGAGATTGTGTGAGCTCACCTGGAAACACGAGGTCTGGAAGAATAGATAGATAGATAGATAGAAATCCATTCTGTGACTGGACCCCAGAGAGATAGAGTCAACTTGGATTCAGAGTGAAACGAAGTGAACATTGATCCTCAATGGCAAGGGGTAAAAGTTGTGAAGCCACGTTGAAATATAGCTGGGAACAAGGGAAGTGTCTTACTGACTGTTGATTGTAGCAACCGTGTGTATATCAGCGTCGAGCGTGGCGTGGCTAAACACTGAAAGTGCGAGCAGGGGAACCCTGCCTGGATGGCGTAAATCTTCAGCTTATTTCTTTGATTCTTGTCGCTTATATGGTACTATCAATAAGCATGCAACTGTAGGTCGGCTCTGTGGCTAAGTCGATGCGAACGCTTCGTAATGCCGGGTAGCCGCCAGCTGCGGGCCATGCGCCCTGCGTTGGTTTCGACAGTGGTATCAGGGTGCCGATCGTTCAGTAAGCAATGGCAAACAATTGGACGTAAATTTGTCTAGAGGAACCACACAACAGCCAGGGGCTGCTGGGGCTGGTTCTGCAACGTCCTGTAAAGGATACGCGGCTAGCCTTTTTTTATGCAACTGTAGATAACCCTAGATAACCCTCGTCCACTGTCATTTGGAGAGGTATGGCAGTTTGTCGGAAGAGAAGTCTGCCTCGACTTTCTGTGAACCTGAACCATAGACAACAGGTGGTGTCGATTGTGTATTGTGTACGAGCCAGAGCTAGTAAGAAGGAGAGACAATTACAATGACCTTTGGGTTGGTAACCTTATCCCCCCAAAAAAGCTGCAGGCGCGAAAACCAGCCAAGAGCTGGCCGAGGGTCGAGGCTCTTAATGAGAATAAATTACTAACAATATTAGAAGTAAAAATAATAAAAATAATAACGATAATAATAATACAAGTTACAAGAAGAAAACGAAGGGAGGAGGAAAAATAAAGAAGAAGACCCGAAGAGGGAAGTCGAGGGAAGCAGAATAAAGCAGAGGAAAGAAGTGGAAAGCAAGATGGAGTAGAGGGAAGCATAGAGAAGCAGAAGAAAGCAGAAGGAATAAAAGGGAAAAGAAGAAAAAGGGAAAAGAAGGAAGAAGAGGAAGGTCGAATAAAAAAACAATATATAAGGATATAAGTGGCAGCATATCAGATCAGAAAGGAGAAGAAGGAGGACGAAGGAAGCAGAGGAAATAAGACAGACGCAAAAGGATGAAAAGGGAATCAATAGGATGAAGAAGCAATCAATAGGATAAAGAAAGAATAGGAAGGCTGGGGAAGAAAAAAGAAGAAGGAAGCAGAAAGTAGCAACAACAACAACAAAAAACCGACAAAAAACAAAAGCAGAAAGAAGCAAAAGGAGGAAGAAGAAAGAAGAAGAAGTAGGGAAAAGGCAGAAGAAGGAGAAAAAAAAACGAAGAATAAGAAATAAGAAGCAGAAAAAGAAGAAGAAGAGGAAAAAAAAGAAGAAGAAGAAAGAAAGTAAGAAAGAAAGAAGAAAGAAAGAAAGAAAGAAAGAAAGAAAGAAAGAAAGAAAGAAAGAAAGAAAGAAAGAAAGAAAGAAAGAAAGAAAGAAAGAAAGAAAGAAAGAAAGAAAGAAAGAAAGAAAGAAAGAAAGAAAGAAAGAAAGAAAGAAAGAAAGAAGATGAGGAGGAAGATGAATTTGAGCAGAATCGTTTCAGATAATTGTTTCCTCACTTTAGAATGCTCAAAGGCTAATTAATTATATTTTTTAACTGTTATACGTCTAATGATGTTCAATTTTTGTAACAGACTACGCATCTTCGTTCTGTTTCGAGTCAAAAGAAACGTTTCATAATTTCACTGATTAAAAAAAAAAAGTACTGAGTGACTGTCGGCTCAGTGCAATAGGTTCGAAATAATGCCATCATGTGATGTAGTGGTGGGGGTCCACTTCACAAACATCTGCTTTATTGTTCGTCGGCTGAGTGCCTTTTAAGCGTTCTATACACAACTAGAAAAATATTGACAATCTTTCTGCTGTGAATTTTGAGGTGGCCTGTCTTATAAACAGTATCATTTCTCGTAAACTAGAATTATTCGATGGCATTAAACGCCATAATTCTTGCAAGATAAGATATGGGAGGTATGATTCCTAGAGGAAGAGGCAGGGATCGACTAGCTCCATGGTGGACACATGATATCAAGGACGCCATGGATGAGAAGGCTCACGAGATGGAAAAGTGGACATGGGACCGAGACATTTTCCTACTTGCTTTGATGATCTCACCGTTCTGCAAATGAACCTGCTAGAAAGGGTGACCAGACATCCTGTTTTCATTGGGACAGTGCTGGTTGTTTATCGGTTTATCCGTCTTATTAGTACAGCAGAAAAGGGGCGGGGGGGGGGGAGGGGGTGTGGGGGGGGGGGACAGCAATGGTCCCGTTTTATAAAAGTCTAGGAGTAAGCGCGATACCTGTAGACTAAAAATGTACTTACTGATAATAGGTTTCGTTGCAGCATGTTTCTTATTTTTTAATGCAGTTAAAGAGCATATTGTTACCTCTATGTCTTGGTAATAATGGTTCGGGTTTTTAAACCAATGCTGAATGAGTAATTAACCTTGTCAGTCTGGTGATCTAGAGAAAAGGGGAATGGTGTTAAACTGACTTGCTTGAGATGTCCCGTTTTCAGCTCAAAATATTAGCGGGAAGTCTCATTTTCGGTTCACGATAATATGACTACCCTACCGCCATATGATGAAGATGACGACAATGCAAAGAAGTTGGGGTACTTTTCCTGGTAAATCCTTGTCACTAATTCACATTACCCGTTGTACTTGAAAAAAAAAAATTGTTACAGAAGATATCACAGCATATACTTAACGAAAATATAGTACCAGTGAATTGAAACACAGTGTGATGTATTGTCTTACAGTCACAGATGCAGCTAAACAAATCTCCAGTTGCATGTGAATGTAACTAGCTAATTCCAATAGAATTCAACTACGCGAGGGAGGACACCGTTTGTTGTTGTGTATTAGAGGACCCTTCTCCACACCTTCATGTGTATTGGGCACATAGGACTAGACCTATATTTTACAGACCAATCGACACTTTTACTTCCCAGGACTTTACCTGGCACTCACTCAAGGCTTGGGCGACCTGACGCCCAAAGTAATTTAAAAAAAAAAATGTTAGGTACCGTCAGAACCCGAAAACACGCCCTTCCGATCCGCTAGGGCAGCGTCTAGCCACTGCAAAACGACGGCTCCAGCACTGTAAATTACCCATAAGGTGGTTTTTTTTACTGGCTAGACGGATAGAATGGCAGCTATGAGCGACGCTGTAAATTAAAGCTGACAGACATAACGGTAAATCAGAAACAGGAGAGGTGCCTGCAAATTAGATGAACACTGTAACTATGACCAGACTTGGGGGAGGGGTTGATAGTCAAAGGAGCTAGGAAATACGTTATTGAAAATGGGAAATTATGAAGACGTCTGTAAATTAGAGGCCACGATCATGGCTGTAAATTAGAAGTAATAATGTGAATGCAAATTGTAAATCCAAAACCAATAGGCAAATACGTTATATGAGGAAATGATTAAAACAGAATGAGAATTACTTACACGTTTTTCTGCAGCGTCGTGTTTAAAAGCGTCAGTTGGCGGGAGTTCTGTAAATTGTCGTGTCTTGGAAGACTATAAAGATAAATAGAAGGTAAAAACGGTTCCTGAAAAGATAGCATTTTCCCTGGTTACATTTGGGAAAAAAAGAGGGGGGGGGGGGGGGGTTGAGAGAGGACCCCAACAGAATGGTAGACGAGTAAGTGGAAGAAAGAATTATTAGCACCTCTATTATTTATACACGTCTTACGGAAGCCGGTGTATACATATACATACATACATACAAACACATCCAGTCTAAAAATGGGGGACTGGGCGTAACATAATGTTAAGCTCAGAAGTTATTTTTGCTTTTTACCGCGCTTTGCTAATGCAGTTTCCACATACGGACGGTAGTCGACGGTTTCGTTGCCTGAGCTACTGAGCTGCGTGCTTAGTGCAGTCCTGTAAGCTGTGTTTTTCCAGTGGAATGCCTTTTATTTGTGCAGTGATATGGCCGGTAGCCCGTTTATGTGTGCTGGTGAATACCTTATATAATAATTTTTAGTAAGTTTATGAGCCCCCTCTTCTTGATGTTCAGTGCATGTTTCTCTAGAATTTGGGTTCAAAGGCTCACATTTTCTCCAGAACTGAGTGAGAGACCATGACTCATACCTGTAAGCTTCCACGGGAAAGATGAATGATCTTAACGTGTTTACTTTAATTTGCTCCAAGGATGGTATCGTAAACCGTAAGGTGTCTGCTGGGAGTTGACAGCTCGATCGATTAATTCAAACTTATTCATTCTCCACTGCAGGTGTAAAGGGGAAAGAATAAACTCGAATTGACTAAGACGTTTCGTTTGAACAAGAATATTAACATCCTTTGACTACAGGACTTTGCTTGTTATATTGATTCTTTCTAGCATGAAATCCAAAGAAATGTAAAAAGAATTGTTTCCAGGATACCATTCAACAAGGAATGGCAAACTACTGAGCATAAAATGTGCCTAGAAAACCTACAACAGCCAACAAATGCTTAGGTTGGTTCTGCAACGTCCTGTAAAGGATACGCTACTACTTTTTTCCCAAAATGGTGAAACTATGGGGGTGACTGCAGTCAAGCTAATACAATGAATTCCAGAGAAATTTGACTAAAAAGCTCAACAAAATGGGAAAAAGGAAAACGTGCACAAAACAACACAACGTAACGTTTCGGCCAGGCAGCCTTTTTCAAACACAAGTGGACTACACAAAAGAGGAATGGAGAGTATGTAGATCTCTAAGGGGTGACGTGAGCGACGTTTAAAAAATGTGATGCGGAATAAATGAAATAAAATAAAATAAACGATGGCTAAAAAATATAGTCACAATACTGGGAATAAAAGAAATGCAAGTGTTAATGATACATAAATGATATTGATAAGAAATAGAATATGGTAATAATATGAAATAAAATAAAATAATTAACATTTAAAATGTAATAAGATTAGAACTATTTAGATGAAGGTATGTTGGATATTGATACCTCTTGGACTAAGAACGCCAAGGCTGTGGATAAGGCGATTTTCCAAAGCGAGGCGGGTAGTATGATCGCCAGAGCAAGATTTTAATGCTGTGACAGATATGTCATCTTTACCGCTGTGGTCAGGGCTATTAAAATGAAGAGGGATTGGTTTGAGTGTCTTCTTGTCGATATCAGAGAGGTGTTCCCGGAAACGATCAGCTAGCTTCCTGCCAGTCTCCCCAATGTATGCCATGCTGCATCGTTTGCAGATAATTGCATAAATTACGTTGCGGGATTCGCAAGTAAAAGGTTCCCTAATTTGAAAAGAACCATTAGGGAAACTGACCGAAGAAGTCTGGACAACGAAAGGACATGTTTTGCAGGTGCTGCGTGAGCACTGAGTAGTCCCAAGAGGAAGTGCTGTATGAATCGGTGGGAGTCGGCTTCGGACAAGTATGTCTTTAAGGTTGCGATCTCTTCTGTAAACTAATCTAGGTTTCTCACTAAAGATAATCTTGGTGTCCGGATCAGAGCGGAGGATGTCCAAATGACGAAAGAATACTTTGGAAGCAACCACATTGTTAGGGTGAAAAGTCAAGATCAATTTAGGTCCCTCATTGGTGGAGTTACGTTTGGTAGGAAAAGCATCTCTCCTGGTGATTGCTAAAACTTTGTTTAGAGCCCCTTGTAGAATGTGTTCCGGATAGAAACGGGCACGGAAGAATTCAAGAAGTTCAACTGATTTATCAAAGAAGTCAGAATCGTCAGAGCACAACCTGCGCAATCGAAGGAGCTGTGAATATGGAATAGAATTTTTACACGGTAGTGGGTGAGAAGACGTATAGAGGAGATAACTGTGAGAATCCGTGGGTTTGTAGTAGGCTGTGGTTTTCAGACACGGGAAATCGATGCTAATCGTGATGTCAAGAAAGTTAACTGAAGTGGTGGAGATCAGTGAGGTGAATTTGATAGCCGGATTGAAAATTGTTGATGTAAGTAATAAATTGGTCAAGCTCAACCATGGACATTTCGGTGATACCAACGCCATCATCTATGTATCTCCTATACACCTCCGGAAACTTGCCCGGGTATGATACACTGACCTCCTACTCCAGGTGGCCCATAAAGAGGCACGCGTAACTAGGACCCATCTTGGTGCCCATCGCAACCCCACTGATCTGGTCAAAATACTCACCATTAAACTCAAAAGAGTTGAGGGTCAGTACCAGTTCGGCAAGGCGTACAAGAACTGAAGTAGGGATGATCGGGTTGGACCTTCTGTCCAAAAAGAACTGGAGTGCTCTAAGACCATCAGAGTGAGGGATAGACGTATAGAGGGAGCATACGTCTATCAGGAAAAGATGATAGGTTTTACTGGGAAGTAGTCTGATGGATTCGAAAATGTTGAGGGCATGGTTGGTGTCCTTGACAAATGAAGGGAGACTGGTGACAATCGGTTGGAAAATACTATCTAAAAATTCAGAAAGATACACCGTGGGACAGGAGCATGCAGATACAATGGGACGTCCAGGGTTGTTGGGCTTATGGATCTTAGGCAGCAAGTACATACACGGTTTGCCAAGTTGGCTGTCAAAAACACGCATATTGTTGGCCTGCTTAGGAAGAGTACCCTGTAAAATAAATGATTGTAACGTGTCCTTGACTTTCTTATTGTTGGAGACTGTGGGGTCGTCCCTTCTTGCGGAATAGAAAACGGGGTTTCTGAGTTGGGTACTGGCTTCCTCAATATAAAGATCCTTCCTCCAAACCACCACAGCGCCCCCTTTGTCAGCTGACTTTATAACAATATCGTTCCTCTTTCTGAGGGAGGAAAGAGCCCGCCATTCACCCTTGGAGAGGTTGGATTTAGGTAAAGGCCTTTGTTCCAACTGTTGGATAGTATGAAGCGTGTGGCTGATGTATAGATCAAGCGCCTTAGATTTACCAGCAGGAGGAGTCCACTGTGAACGGGATTTGTTGGCCGTTGAAAGAAATGTAGTTTCGTCAATAGGCCCAGTGGGGGCGGGTGGTTGACCCCAGTGATGATGTTTCAGGCGTAGACGGCGATAGAAGGAGTGTGCATCCTGGAGGAGAGTGTATTTGTCAGCACGTGGTCTTAGAGGAACAAATTTCAAGCCTTTACTGAGGAGTGAGCGTTCATCATCGGAGAGGGGTAGGTCGGGTGGGATGCAAACAACAAGGTTTTGGGCTAAGGTGGGATTAGCAGGTGCTACAAAGGATTGTGGGGGCCGGAGGCAGTTCATTTTATTTTTCTTTGTATTGGTAAGGAAAGAATACAACTCCTGATTAGTGGTGTGAATAGTAGAGCGGATGATCAAATAGGCCAACCTGTTGTTGGTTAAGAGCCTTCGTAGATTGTAGACCAGAATATCAATCTGGTCGCCCAGTTGTTGGAGGTGGCGTTCGTGTGCATCTAGTATGCAACGCATGCGAAGATAAGCGCATTTCTCCTCGATTCTGGCCAATGGTTGGCTGTAGTTCAAGGATGGCGGGCCTACTGAAGGATGGAATTTGGTGGCGAAACCTTTCGGGATAATTTTTAAACGTAAACATCGTTGTAGAAAATTCCGATGAGATGTAATCTACGAAGGCTCTTAACCAACAACAGGTTGGCCTATTTGATCATCCGCTCTACTATTCACACCACTAATCAGGAGTTGTATTCTTTCCTTACCAATACAAAGAAAAATAAAATGAACTGCCTCCGGCCCCCACAATCCTTTGTAGCACCTGCTAATCCCACCTTAGCCCAAAACCTTGTTGTTTGCATCCCACCCGACCTACCCCTCTCCGATGATGAACGCTCACTCCTCAGTAAAGGCTTGAAATTTGTTCCTCTAAGACCACGTGCTGACAAATACACTCTCCTCCAGGATGCACACTCCTTCTATCGCCGTCTACGCCTGAAACATCATCACTGGGGTCAACCACCCGCCCCCACTGGGCCTATTGACGAAACTACATTTCTTTCAACGGCCAACAAATCCCGTTCACAGTGGACTCCTCCTGCTGGTAAATCTAAGGCGCTTGATCTATACATCAGCCACACGCTTCATACTATCCAACAGTTGGAACAAAGGCCTTTACCTAAATCCAACCTCTCCAAGGGTGAATGGCGGGCTCTTTCCTCCCTCAGAAAGAGGAACGATATTGTTATAAAGTCAGCTGACAAAGGGGGCGCTGTGGTGGTTTGGAGGAAGGATCTTTATATTGAGGAAGCCAGTACCCAACTCAGAAACCCCGTTTTCTATTCCGCAAGAAGGGACGACCCCACAGTCTCCAACAATAAGAAAGTCAAGGACACGTTACAATCATTTATTTTACAGGGTACTCTTCCTAAGCAGGCCAACAATATGCGTGTTTTTTGACAGCCAACTTGGCAAACCGTGTATGTACTTGCTGCCTAAGATCCATAAGCCCAACAACCCTGGACGTCCCATTGTATCTGCATGCTCCTGTCCCACGGTGTATCTTTCTGAATTTTTAGATAGTATTTTCCAACCGATTGTCACCAGTCTCCCTTCATTTGTCAAGGACACCAACCATGCCCTCAACATTTTCGAATCCAT